ACAGTCTCTCCTGCCCGGGCTGGCTTTGAACCGCGATCCTCAGATCTCAGCCTCCTGAGTAGCTAGGATTACAGGCGTGAGCCACCAGCGCCCGGCTAGTCCCTGAGACTCTTATCTCTAATAAATCTCCAAAACAGTGGGCAGTGCAGGTGTAAGAGGAGTGTGTGTGTGTGTGTGTGTGTGTATGTGTGTGTGCTGGTCCTGGGGCTTGAACTCAAGGCCTGGCGCTGTTCCTCAGCTCTTTAGTCCAAGGTGAGCGCTCTACCACTTGAGCCACAACACCACTTCTGGTTTCCTGAGCGGCTGATTGGAGCTAAGAGTCTCATGGACTTTTCTGCCCGGGCTGGCTTTGAACCACGATCCTCAGCTCTCAGCCTCCTGCGTAGCCAGGATGACAGGCGTGAGCCACCGGCGCTTGGCTCATCTCTGAGCTTTTGTGCTCAAGGCTAGCACTCTACCAGTTGAGCCACAACTCCACCACTTCCCCTCCCCTGGACCCCATCTTGCTGACTGACCCCAGGCCCACAGCTCTCTCTTCTCCCCCAGGCCACGGCCATGATCCCCTGGGTGCTTCTGGCCTGCGCCCTCCCCTGTGCAGCCGACCCACTGCTCGGCCCCTTCGCCCACAGAGACTTCCAGAAGGGTGCCCCTCAACTCATCTGCAGCCTGCCTGGCCCCCAGGGTCCCCCCGGCCCCCCAGGAGTCCCGGGGCCATCTGGAACAGTGGGAAGAATGGGCTTTCCTGGTAAAGATGGTCAAGATGGACAAGACGGCGACCGAGGGGACAGTGGAGAGGAAGGTAAGACCCATACTGTGTTTCCTGTCTCCACATGGGGTCACCGGCTTCTCACAAGAGGCGTGGCCGTGGAGGCAGAGCTTCAGGTACTGAGTTCGAGTCCAGGCTTGGTCCATAAAAGAAATAAGCAACCCTTTGGGGGGGCATAAGGACTTTCCCTAGCCAGGCACTGGTGGCTCACGCCTGTCATCCTAGCTACTCAGGAGGCTGAGGTTTGAGGATGGCCGCTCGAGGCCAGCCCAGGCAGGAAAGTCACTGAGACTCCTCTCCCATGAACCACGGGGAAACTGGAAGCGGCGCTGTGGCTCAAGTGGTAGAGCGCTAGCCTTGAGCACAAGAGCTCAGAGACAGCGCCCAGGCCCAGAGTTCAAGCCCCACGACCGACAAAACAAAAACTTTTCCAACTGTTGTTTTTCAGGCCCACCAGGCCGCACTGGGAACCGGGGGAAGCAAGGACCAAAGGGCAAAGCCGGGGCCATTGGCCGGGCTGGTCCCCGGGGCCCCAAGGGGCTCCCTGGGGCCCCCGGGAAACACGGGACACCAGGCAAAAAGGGACCCAAGGGCAGGAAGGGGGAGCCGGGCCTGCCAGGCCCCTGCAGCTGTGGGAGTGGCCGGGCCAAGTCGGCCTTCTCGGTGGCCGTGACTAAGAGCTACCCCCGCGAGCGGCTGCCCATCAAGTTCGACAAGATCCTCATGAACGAGGGCGGCCACTACAACGCGTCCAGTGGCAAGTTCGTGTGCGGGGTGCCGGGTGTCTACTACTTCACCTACGACATCACGCTGGCCAACAAGCACCTGGCCATCGGCCTCGTGCACAACGGCCAGTACCGCATCCGGACCTTCGACGCCAACACCGGCAACCACGACATCGCTTCCGGCTCCACCATCCTGGCCCTGAAACAGGACGATGAGGTCTGGCTCCAGATCTTCTACTCGGAGCAAAACGGCCTCTTCTACGACCCTTACTGGACAGACAGCCTCTTCACCGGTTTCCTCATCTACGCCGACCAAGGTGGCCCCAATGAGGTCTAGGGGGACCCCACCCTTCTCCAGACCCGAGCCCACCTCTTTGATTTTTCTCTTATTAAATCCAAGCTTTATTTTTTTTTCTTTCCGATTTATCAGTTCCTTTGTGAATTTTATTTATTTTTGTCATGTCTGTCGCGGGGCTTGAACTCAGGGCCTGGGTGCTTGTTCCTGAGCTTTGGTGCATCACAGGACTGGCTCGCTTTGAGTCAAGACTCCATATCCTGCTTTTTGGTAGGTTAATTGGAGAAAAAGAGTCTCCTGGATTTTCCTGCCCGGGCTGGCTTTGAACCCCAGTCCTCAGATTTCAGCCTCCTAAGTAGCTAGGATGACAGGTGTGAGCCACCAGCGCCAAGCTATTTACCGATTTTGAAACTGCTTTTTTCTTTTAAATGTTGTAGGTGCTCATCCTGGGATCTGAACTCAGGAACCCCTGCTCTTGCATGGCCTACTGCTCCACTTCTGGCTTTTTGTTGATTTACTGGAGATAAGAGCCTCTTGGATTTGTCTGCCCAGGCTGGCTTTGAACAGTGATCTTCAGATCTCAGCCTCCTTAGTAGCTAGGATTACAGGTGTGAGGCATCGGCACCCGCTAGAGTTGACCTTTTCTAGTTTGACTTATATGAGAGACTCCAAATTTTAAGTGAACAGCTTATAAATTCTTTACCTATATGCACGTTAGAACCTCCACGTAGATAAAAAAAATAAGCCAGGCACCAGTGGCTTCTGGCTGAAGAGCTGAGGGAAAGCACCCAGGCCCAGAGTTCAAGCCCCATGACCAACATACAAATAAGATAAACATAAAAAATAAACTAGCCTAGGCATGGTGGCACACACCTGTAATTTCAGCCACTTAGTAGGAAGAGGTTGAGAGGATGGTGGTTCAAAGCTAGCCCAGGCAACAAAGTAGCAAGAGACTCTGTCTCAACACATGAGCAGGGCATGGTGGTACAGGTCCAGAATCCCAGTTACACAGACACAGGATAATGGTCTGAGACCAGTTCAGGCAAAAAGTGCAAGATTCATCTATCTAAAAAAAAAAAAAAACGAATATTAGGATGAGAATGTGGCTTAGAGTGCTTGCCTAGCATGCATAAAACCCTGGGTTCGATTTCTCAGTACCACATATACAGAAAAAGCCAGAAGTGGTACTGTGGCTCAAATGGTAGAGTGCTAAGCTTGAGCAAAAGAGGCTTAAGGGCAGTGCCCAGGTCCTGAGCTCAAGCCCCAGGACTAGCAACAAAACAAATCTAACATCAAAAGGGCTAAGGGGTATGCGTGGCTCAGGTGGTGCAGTGTCTACTTAGCAGACAAGGCCTGGAGTTCAAACATCAGCACTGCCAAAACAAATACAAAACATAGAAGGCAGTGCAGATGCTCCTGAATTTACACAGCAGTTATATTTTTAAAAAAATGAGCTGAGTGGCTCATGCCTGTCATCCTAGCTACTCAGGAAGCTGAGACCTGAGGATCACAGTTCAAAGCCAGCCCCGGCAGGAAAGTCCATGAGACTCATCTCCAATAAACCACCAGAAAACCGGAAATGGTGCTGTGGTTTAAGTGGTAGAGTGTTCACCTTCAGCTGAAGAGCGGAGGGACAGCGCCCAGACCAAGTTCAAGCCCTATACCAACAATAAAAAGTCAAACCATGGTACGTTGGGGACCAGTCTGTATAGGAAGAGACTGATTTTCAAGAGGATTCTTTTTTTTTTTTTTTTTTGTCAATCCTGGGGCTTGAACTCAGGGCCTGGGCGTTGTCCCTGAGCTTTTACTCAAGGCTAGGGTGCTACCACTTTGAGCCACAGCACCACTTCTGGCCTTTTCTGTGTATGTGGTACTGAGGAATCGAACCCAGGGCTTCATGCATGCTAGGCAAGCTCTCTACCACTGAGCCACCTCCCAGCCCTCAAGCTGATTCTTGATCCAGGATGAAGAATTGTGCTGAGGACTGGAAGCCTTGAGAAAACCAAGCTGCTGCTACAGAGGCCTGGACACCACAGAGGAAAGAAAGGGGAAGAGGGAGAAGGTCATGGAGAGCTTCAGCCAAGGGCAGGTTCAAGAAAACTGCCGCCATGTGCAGAATGTAAAAGCCGAGCAGGCAGGATCCCACAGGCTGGAATTAAGGCGAGGTGTGTGTTGGTGGTGACACTGGAGCATCCTGCCTGTCCTGTCATCTTTATCTTTACCACCAGGGGGCGAACATCTACCACAGACGGAGACACCAGGCCAGGCTGGAGAGGAGGGAGGGAGGGAGGCAGACAGACAGAGGCCTATGGGCTTAGGCAGCCATGATCGTGTGCTAGGAAAAAGAAAGAAAGGAATTCGAACACAGAGCCTCCCATTATCTAACCACATGGATTGTAAGCAGAGAGAGACTGGGAACTGGGAACTGGGAACAAGAAATCGGGGTTCTGGTCCCGTTGTGTCTTCCAGTTCCTTGATTTCCTTGTGTGGTTTGGGCCACGTCCTTTAACAGCTGGGAGCCTCAGTTTCCCCAACTATAAAGCTCGGGTCAGGATGCTGTCCAAACTGGTGTTACCTCCAAAGCAGAGCTAGGAAGAGAACCTGGGATCCGGATCATCTAAAGGAACAGCCATTCCTGATGGAGACAGCTGTGGGCTGTTCTTTAGGGGCTAAGGGTGACCCTCAAATGAGATTCTCCACAGTGTGGAAAAGTCAACCATTGCTCATCCCCAATCTGTGTGGCTGTGTGTGTGTGTGTGTGTGTGTATGCTGGTCCTGGGGCTTGAACTCAGGGCCTCAGGGTTTTTTGGGTTTTTTTTGCACTCTACCACTTGAGCGACTGTGTACCACACTTGTGGCTTTTTGGTGGTTATCTGAAATAAAGAGTCTCAGCCCTGGCAGGGCTGGCTTTGAACCACCATCCTCAGATCTCATCTTCCTGAGTAGCTAGGATTACCGGAGGAGGCACTTGGTTCACAATGGGTTTGGACAGGTGATCGGATGAAAGCTCCAGGAACACAGCACCTTTCTACTGGCTCTGCAGGCCCCAGGCAGGCTGGGCAGGCCGGGCAGGCTGGTCACTTTGACCGTCCAGCCTCCATCATGCTTTCCTGCTGGTTGTCAGGCTGGAGTTCTGGCAGCTTTGAAGTTAGTGGCTCCTTTTATCAACTCCCTCTACTGTCCTGATCTGGGGAGTTCTTGGCATTTCGTTTGCTCTCCGCACATCAACCCCAACTGCAACCTATCTGGGGCCCCCAAGGAGAGGGCTGTGTGGAGCCCACTTGAAGTTTAAACAGCAATAACTACAACAAAGCTATGTCACAGGAACTATGACACAGGAAGGTTCTAACACATTTTGTTGGGATGAATGACAAGATGTTAGCAGTGTAGATGTCCATCGGCCTCTGGTCATACACTACCGGGGGTTGAGCTCGGGGCCTTGTGCTTGCTCAGGCGGGCACTCTACCACTTGAACCACGGCTCTGCCCACGCGTTTTGCACTGATCGTTTTCAAGGACGTCTGCACCAGGCTGGGACGGCTCTCCTGGCGTTCCCGTGTCGCTGGGGGGGACAGAAGGTGTCACCACGCCCAGCCATTGGCTAAGAGGAGTCTCCTGATCTTTTTTTCACCAAAGCTGACCTCAAACCTCCATCTCCCAGGTCTCTGCCTTCTGATTCCACCAGTGCACGCGCCGCGCGCACACTCACACACGTGCACACGCACGAACGCATGTGCACAAACATGCACACGCACGCACACACATGCACGTGCGCACACACATGCACGTGCGCACACACGCACGCTGCATCCGTAAATTTGCTTTTGTCCATCGTGGGTCCCGAACTCGGGCCGGCGCCGCCCGCGCCCTTCAGCTCAAGGCTGGCGTCTGTGGTTGGTGAGTGTTCGCTGGAGCTAAGCTGGGGGAGGGGAGGCTTTTCTGCCCGGGCTGGCTTCGAACCGCGATCCTCGGATCTCAGCCTCCAGGAGCCCGGGGAGGGGAGGGACAGATCGGGAGCTAACCCGCCCCCTGCCCGGGGCACAAACCCCGGACCGGGACGGGGAGCCGGGGG